GCTTTCTGCATAGCGTTTTACTATATTTCTCTGTGCTTCCGTTCGTGGACCCAACAGCACAACAGCTGGTGCTCCCTAAGGGCATACGGAAGGTGGGATGCAAAGTGCATCTTTGGTTGGTAGCGCTCATCTGTATAAACACCTAGGCGAAGCTGCTGATGCCTTTGTATGGAGTCTTGAAGAGCATGCGGTGCAACATCCCGGTGGGTTTTGCATCTTTGAAGCAAATCCAGCACCGAAGCCAATGCATTATATGAAGCCACTGCAGCTTTCACCAAATCATCAGCTAAAGGGGAAGGCACCACCAATTCATCCAACATGTGTCGAATTACTTGATAAATGCTTAACCCCTCCGACGCGCTGCATTTGATTTCCCCATCGGTCCATTTCTCCAAAATCTTTTGGCCTGTGATTGCCCTGCCTCGTGTGCCTTGGGGCCAAGTGTAAGTCTTCAAGTACTGGGAGAATGTTTTGATATGAAAACCTGCATCTTTCAACAGTTCAAAAAGGTAACCGCTCTCTGTGTTCCATGCGCCATTGACCATGTACACATGCATCCAATCAAACTGGATGCAATTGGTCAAGTCATCATACAAGCAATCCCAAAACGCTTGGCTCCACAAGGGTCCATGTGGGCTATAAGCCAAGCCCAGCGCTGATTCAACTTTCTCAAAATGAGCTTTTGTAACGTGCGCCGCACGTTTAGTATTCAATTCTTGCACATTTGCTAGGATTGATGCTTGGGTTGCAAACACCATTTTACTCACATCCCGCTCTGTATGTGGAAGCAGGAAGGAAGTTCTGTCGTGAGTTGCGACTTGCAATCCCCTCAGCGTGATGTTGGAACATAGACAGCAAGGCTTCATTCCTGAGGCACCTTTGAAGCTGAACATCATTTTGATCGCCTGTTCGTCTCCAACGATTATTCCCAAAGCGGCGAAAAATATTCGACCGCCTGAACCCTGCAGGTCTAATGTGATTCCATTGGTCAAATCCAAGGGGCTGGAAAAGAAAAGCGTCACTACTGATTGAAACACTTGTGCCCATCCTCCACAGATTGAATCTAGTTTGTTGCTTCTGATGACTAGAACTTGAAGCCAAAGATCCTCGCAGCCAGCTGCGCCATCGAATTCAGCAAAGCTGAAATAGAAGGCCAATGCCTTTCTACTGTTGGCCATCGGTTTCAAAGGGTTCCCTGGCACAATTTCATCGCTATAAAGGGCAAGTCGCCATTTGTGGTTTCCATCATTTGGGTGTACCAGAAATTTCTGCTTCAAAAAGTCAGCAAAACGGCTGCGAGTCTTTGCCAAATGCTGAAGCTGCCTGACTGGGTGGATTGCAGGAAACTGTGCTTCTGTACCGTCCACCATGTGCAGAGTGACTGTGGTGAACATCTCTGGCGGCACTTCTTTATCCATGGCTCGTTTGATACCTCGTCGATCAGTTGTTTTAGGCATGCCATTGTCTCTAATAGATTTCAGCACGCCCTCAAGGCCACTTAGGGACACGTAAGACTTTGAATCAGCACCAGTCAGAACCCTCCATGAAGAGGAAGCCATGGGCGCAGCGAGCTTAACACATGCTTTTATTTTGAGAGAGAGAGAGATATATATATATATATAAAGCCCTGCTGCGCTGACGAGCTGCAACTATGATTGATAGCCCTGCCACACTTTACAGATGTAACTTCAGGATGACCAAAGTGACTTCAGGTGGATACCTATAGATTGTGTGCAACCATCATGGTTGGCAGAAAATCACATGCATAATACATATATATATATAATATGTATATATATATATATTGTGGCTTGCACAAAATACACAAATAGTTTCAAACCGTTCCTCAATGACACTCTCGGCGAGCAAAGTGTTTGCAGGATGATGGCATTCTGAACATGGTGAGTGGTGCAACGTTTCAACACGATGTCCATCAAAGCAGCACAGCTTGGAAGCCCTGTCATTTTTTGTCTCTAAACATGGCAGGCATATTCAAAGTCACCTGGGGATGCCGGCCACACATGGTTGCACTTATGAACTAACTATCAACGCTGAAATGCTCAGCGCTCGCATGAAAGAAGCATCTTTTTTTTAAACTGAGCGCTTGCGTCCGCACATGAGATCTCTGTAGTATTGACGCAAGACATGGGCATCTGCACGCATGCCGCGTCAAAATGACCCAAAGCAGGGCAAAAGCAATCCAACAACAAACGTGGACTGATGCCACCCCATGATGTCAACGTCCGCCATTTCGGAAAGGATGTTATACAGTCTATTAATCTACATCATTTGCATCTTCAATGATGCTCAAAGCTTTCTCCCAAGCAGCTTCAGCACAGCCATCACGAATTCTTCACTTTGAGATCATTGCGGTCAGTGACTTTGCGAAAGACCCTCAGTTCCTTGCCGTTCTTGGGGTACTGGATCTTGCCTCCCCTGAAGTAAGTGGTTCCAAGGCCCGGTGCGCTTGGGCATGGCGGTCTCCCCAAACCAATGGCCGGCTCTTGTTGATGATCTGCTGCAGGCTGCTCGTTGGCATCAGCCACCTTGACAGAAGGCTTTTTTGACTTTGCCTTGCCACTGGCTTTTGCCTTTGGCTTAGGCTTTGGAGCTGCCTTTGCCTTGCATTTTGCCTTACCTTTGGCCTGTTTACTTGGTGCCTGAGGGTCCTCTTCAGCGGCTCGCTTTTTGCCAGCAGTGCGTTCCTTGATGGAATCCAAAACCGTTGCAACCTGCTGCTCAGGTGGGAGCTCTAAAGGCTTTGGCTCCACAAGAGCGCTTGCATTGGATGGTGCTGGCAAAGCTAGGGGCACTGGCTTGGAAGGGGCAGCTTGCACAGGAAGATTTGCAGGCTCCATGGTTTCCTGCGAATCAGTTTGGTCACCTGCAGGAGTGGCAGGAGTGGTAGGAGTGGTAGATGCAGCATCACCCAAAGCTTTGGCGGCCTTTGCTTTCGGCTTGAAAAGAGTCAACCCTGGCAACTGATGCTGTCCGGTTGAGCCGTGTACCCCTTTGCTGCATCATTGCCATGACAGACATCAAGGTATTTGCCATCACTTCAGCCTGGCTCTGGCTCTGGGATTGTTGGCTATTCACATCCATTCCTTTGTTGGTCTTCCTCAGAGGGACGACACGGTTCAAGGCCTCATCGACAGCAATCAGGCATGGTGGATCGTCTGCATACGCTCTTGCTCTGAGGCCTTCTGGCAAGTCAAACGGACTCGGTGGGTATTCCACCAGAAAGGGGCTTGGCTTGCTAGCGTTCTTCACCCTTTGTTTCAGAAGCCGCTTGATTTCCTGAACTGCCATGTAGGATTCAGAACATGCTTTTCCAAAGTCACCAACATTCATAGCAGCACAAATCAAAGCCCTTTTCACCGTTTGTTCAGTTGGCAAGTGAATGTTCAGCTTGAAGAGCCTTGATGCCACCACATCGCACTTTTGCACCAGTGTCGCCGAAGTATCACTGAACACAGCACAATCCTTCTGGGAGAAATACTTGTTCCAAAGTAACAAACTTTGGTTGGGCCTGCGGGCACCCTTGGTGCCTTGCCCCTTTGCCACCGCTGTGCCAAGGGCAGTGGCTAGGACCGTGATGTGAGCATCACCCCAAATTTCATGCTCCAATGCCCTGGTGAAAAAAATCCCCTCAGCACTGGTGAAATGAGCGCTTTCAAGCCTGACCTTCCAAAGCTCAGCTTGCTGAGCAAGGACGCCAACAAATGCTGGTCCGTTCTGAAGGACATTTCTCTGGGACCTTAAGTAAGCTTGAGTGTTTTGAAAGTCTGTCAGCAGCATGTCTGCTGCACTTGCCATGGCTTGGCAAATATCCCACTACTGCTCCTAGTAAGGTGATGCGACACACGAGCACAGAAGGCCCTGCGGACGCAGTGCTTGCGAGCATGCCAAGAAGCCCTGCAAGTGTCTGTAAATCAGTTTGCATTATGCTGGACTGAAATGCAGTGTTGATACATGCACAACAATCTGAAAGCGCAGGATTACATGAGCTTGATACCTCCAAATGTGATTGCAATTGATCATGTATGCCCCTTGCAAAGGCAGAGAGCCTGGCAAAAGCATTGCATACATATATGCAATGAGTGATGCAGGGTCCAAGACTCGTATCTTCCAACAGTGCAGGTCTCAGAGCAAATTTAGTCTAATAAAGACTCGCACCAGTAAACAACAAACAGGGCAGGTGCACCTCGTTAATTAGCACTGAGTTGAAAATCGACACAGTGACGATCAGCTTCTGATATGTTCGAAACTGCAAATAATGTTGCATCAACACAATTTGGAACTCACTCATTGAAGATCTGGGCGTTCATTCTCCGATATGGACAGGACCATTCCTCAGTGGTCCTCTGGCGCTTTGCAGGGTGCAACTCTGTGACCTTGACGCCATTAGCCACAAGCACTGTTTCAACCTCCCTGGCAAGACGATTGGCGCTTCTCCATGCCTTGTTTTGTTTTTGCAATCAGCCACATCTGAACATCAAAATGTGTTGCATCTGAAACTCAAACTGTTTTGCAACTGCAAATTCAACAAACAGTGAAAACGCCACAATTTGAACTGAGCTACCGAAGAATTCAATTCATGATAGCGTTTCAACAACTTCGGCTGGCTGTATCGCATGGCACTGACATGGTCAGCTGTGAAGGAATTGGTTTCAGACGCCATGCAGCGCGCAGCTAATATATCCGAAGCACCTGCACACATAATGAGGTATCTTTTGTATCATGTTCTCATGATGTGCATTTGTGTTATTGCAGGTTCATGGCATGCACCATTGTACCTTGATCCCCTGTTTTTGCGTGGCAACTGTACTCTTGCAGTCTGTTGGATGCTTGACAGCATCTCATCCGACTCTCTTATCCATCTGAGAATTCTCAGCGGTGTTAAAATGAGACTCTAAGGTGCTGCGAACACCGACTGATTGAGCTTGCAAGATCGAACCTATTTTAGGTCAATCGCTCAATTGCGTGGCGTGCCACAGAGCTCAGGTCAGAGATGGCATTCGTAGTGCTCGTCCACTGATCATGGGTTCCTGCTCCACTGCCTCTGTGTCGAATTCTCTGGCGTCCCTTTCCATACCTGAGGACACAATGAGTGAAATATATCAACTGCTCCTGCACGCGCTGCTATTGTAACAACCTTGGACTCTAAACGTTTTAACAACCATGACCATGTTTCACAGCAGATACTAACATGCAGCTGAGGCACGGCCAGAACACTCCACTGATGTCGATGTAGCCGCCCTCGACGTATCTGCCGCCCCAACTGTCCACATGGAAATTGGCCTTCCCACGGCCTTTTCCAGAGGCACAGCCTTTTCCACGGCCACGCCCTTTTCCCTTCGGTCGCTGGCTTGCCCACCATGGGCGGGAACCACGTCCTGCACCTCCACCACCCTTGCCACCACCGTGGTTCCATGTGCGCCAGTTGCGCCATTGGTTGGACCCATCCTCTGTGGTTTCTGCAGCGGTGGCATCGACGCGCCAGGGATGCCATTGGTTGGACCCATCTCCGTTGGACCCATCTCCTGTTGTTTTTGTGGAGCAGGGGCGCCATCGTCTGCAGGGTTTGCAGGGGCCTCTTCTTCTTCTTCTTTCTTTTCCTCCTCTTCTTCCTCTGGTGGATCATCTCCTGCAGGCCCTTCGTTGTCATCTCGGTCGTCTCCGTCTCCTCCGTCTCCGTCGTCTCCATCGCCTCCATCTGCTCCTGCAGCATCTCCGAAGCTTCCAGGTGGGATCCATGCGGGCGGCTGCCCATACTCCTCATCTGCAGGCTCAACAGCGTCTTCAGGTGCAGGCGTATCATGCGCAGAGCCTGCATTGGGATTTTCACTTTTGACAAGTTCCATCTTGGGCTTTGTCAACTTCCATAACGCCTCAAAAGCAGGCGTGCCAGACAGCTTCTGACGCTTGACGATCTCATCTTTCATGAGCTGTGAGTACACCTCGCGCCGTGCCATCCTCCACTCTTGCTCATCCCATTTGTTCTTGACGCTACCACGTGGCTCAAATGAAGGGCCAAGAAGTGACCATGCTTCTCCTGGCTCTCCAAAGGGCCCTGCATCAGCTTGTCGCTTGGGCGGCATGGCAGCACCAAAGAAGTCTCACTAAATCTATCTATCTCTCCGGATGTATTGCGCACGGTTGGCATGTTGTTTTGAGTTGTTTGCGGTGCCCTGCGAAGGTTGATATACGTGATAGTTGTAATGCATCATTGAAACTGCATCAAGTTGAATTCAAACATATCAAGCATCCAGTCACTTGTCATCCTGTGGGACTGTCTCTCGACACATTGAACCGGAGATGTCCGTCTGTGAACAGAGGTTTGAATGAGTACACGAACTCAAAACAACGCAATCCATAGGAAACATCGACCACTGAAATACAAGGTGCTGCTCAATCTCCAGTTTCACATGAGATCAGATTGGCTGAGCCCGCCTGGTTGCAGTGGTCGTATATACTGCAGGGCTATATTCAGCTCGCAATCTGCAAGCAGGGCAACTATGCTCGCCACCGCACGGTGACAATAATGCGAGTCAGTCAGTGTTGAACGACCCTGCAAAAATATAAAGTACAAATGCGAGTCACCAAGTGTTTGACCCTGCAATTAACCTCGAAGTGAAAGAGCTTGCAATATCAAATGCCAAAATGAAGTGCACAACGGCGCAAAGAAATTCTTCGAAAACTGCTTGAGTTGCCTAAGTGCACCTTTGGTTCGTGCTGCAACCTCAGTCAAAGGCGCTTGGGCTAACAAAATGTGAAACCAACCATGGACAACCATCGAGAACAACAATTGTTGATTCACAAATGTTTGGCATGCAAAAAAAATAATGATAATTGCTTGCACTTGAATGATATTCCCAATTGTCAATCAACATTTTTTGGCATGAATAATTGTCATTTGACAATTGTTTGCATCTTACTTTCCTTACCCAATTGTCAATTAACAATTATTTGGCATGAACAATTGTTAATTAACAATTATTTGGTATGAATAATTGTTAATTGACAATTGTTTGAATTTTGGTTTCCTTCCCAATTGTCAATCAACAATTATTTGGCATGAATAATTGTTAATTAACAATTATTTGGTATGAATAATTGTTAATCAACAATTATGCATACCACCTGCTATCTCTTATACATTGAAAGATAATAAACCCTTAACTAAACTCTCGCCATTTTTTTGGACTTTTGGTTTCAAGAGAGATTTTTTGGTGCCGGGCCGAGTCGAAGACAATCCTCAGGGTTTGCAAAACACTGCAACGGGTCAAGAAAATTCAAGTTTGCATTTTTTCGTTTTTTATGCCAAACTCTGCACAACATGTGTTGTTTTCCATAGATTACCTTCTGAGCACCCATCGGAAGATCGACTCAAAACCTGGTTTGCAGAGCGGTTCACATTTAAAAAAAAAACAAATTGTACTGCATGAGCCATTATCCCTGAGGCTGGAACGAAATGCTTGTGCCAATGACTGGTTGTTAGCTTTTGAATTTCGAATCTGACAAACACATGTGAAAAGAATTGCACGCCCTTTTTTTTGTTTGAACCGCGTGACGTCCCCAAGTTGCAGCATCAGACAAGATGGTGGCTAAGGCCACATCTTCTGCCACAGAGTTCTTGGCAGTTTTTTTCTTGTAACGCAAGCACGTGTACACATAAGGTTTGGTGATTTCAGAAACCAAAAAACTGCAGCAAGAACTACGATAATTATGTTTTCACTAACACTCATGGCATGTCTATGCATGGGGCTCCTCTGCAGAAGCATGATCCCCTGGAAAGTTAGGATTGGCAAGCTGTGCACTCTGTGCATCTTCAGCAGGAGCATCCATCGAGTTGAAGTCTTCAGCTGATTCAACAGGTTCAACTGGTTCGGCAGCTTCATCAGCTTTGGATTTTGCATTGCGAGACTTTTTGGCTCTGCCGCATCCTTGTCCCTTTGCAGGTCTGGACCGACCTTTGGAAGCAACTGGAGAGCGAAGCACGGCTCGCAGGTACTCGAGGTTCTCAATGGTGTATTCCATCCATATCTGTGGAGATGTCACAGACCATATGACGTTCATGGTATGCCCTGCAATGCCCTCCTTCGGAGGCATTGTCAAGGGGATCCATGCACCACCAATGACGTGGTCACTGTCCCTGGCAGTTTGTTTCTGTTTTTGTTTCCGTGCCTTGGGATCATCGGGTAAATCAGCAGAAGCTTCAGCTATGATTGCTTGCATCCTGGCATTGCACGTCTCATAGCGCAATTTCTTGATCTCATCCAAGACTCCAAAGTTGCCTGTATTGGAGGGTTTGTCTTTTCGCCTTTCCCCCTTGTGGATGCAAATGAACTTCTTGTCATCCACAACCTTAGTTTGGGGTATCCATGGTTTCTTCCCCTTGCCAAAGTAGATAGCATCCACCGTCCGGCATTGAAAGGACTCCATGTCGGCTATCAAGGAATTTAGAATGGCTTACCTATCTGATGGAGCCATGATTCATACGAGCAATTCTTGCCCTGCATGCACAGTTTCCACGAGCTATATAAAACAGCCCTGCGAACAATGACAAGAACACTGTGCAACGGTATCGTGCACAGGAAAAAGCTGGCAACATCAACGGGAGTGTTTTCTCAGCCTCAGCAGATGCCTCCCTATAGTTTCACTAAGCTTCATCGGTGCCACAGCAGATCAAAATGTACCACATTGAACACCAGCTGATGTTACAAGACAATAGAGGCAGAAATGTGCATATAGTATTCGATTGAGAAACAAATATATAGATTCAGAACCAATATGCACATCATGCTGTGGAGCCCTGGCTGCCCTTAGCAGTCAGACGCTTGGCAGGCGGGTTTGTGTTAACTGGCACAACTGCCTCCACATCTGGCTTTGCAGGTTTCGGCACATAACGGAGCAAAACATCTTCCGGGTTAACTGCACAGAGGTTAACCATTGTTGGAATTTTCAAAGTAGAATTTTTGTCGGATGGGCCAACCGTGAGAGACATGTGCATGTTGGCCTCCTCTTGAACGTGAGTTGTCGAAACTAGCCAAAACGGTGACACAAAAGCATCACCAACATCTTTGTCCACAGGGCTGGCAAAATGGGCATTGAGATGATAAACAGTGCTCTCTGTGCCACACCGCCCGATGCAAATGGAATTGTTACTAGGCGTTTCAGACACGTCCTTGCTCTCGATTTTCGCAGTTGTTGGTACAAGCACCAGCTTGCCCTTGGCGAATTTCTTGGATGCCACAACATTTCGACGTGGTTTCAATGCTAGCTTCAGGCTGCTCAAAGCATCACTGTGTGAAGTCTCCACGTCAAGGAGTTTTGCGCAAATGTTTCCAATGCAAATCTTCTTCAAAAATTCAGTGTTCGTGGAAGATGCATATAGTTCCAGTTGTTCCAAATTAACTTTCTGCACTGGAGCCTTTGATAATTTCCATTCCCCCTTGTGGAAGCTTGAGTGGCTAACTTGCACTGTGCCAGCCAAATCGCCCTCTTCAATGCTTAGGATCACAGAGGTGTTGGAAATGGATTTGATCTGGGCCACGATCTTGTCCTTTTTCCTTGAGACCCAAGCGTCGACAGTGAAGCCTTTCTCCAGCAAAAGCATCGACGCGTCGGCCAACTGCCCCACTTGATTGAATTCCCGCTTCCTGGGAGTGAAAAAAAGACAACACTTCCAAACATATTTGTTTCGTTTTCTCTTTGAAGCTGCAATGTCAACCATAGCAAGAAAAAACAATAAATACAAACATTGGCACCTTTAATCTATAAGGAAGTATCAAGGGGTTGGGCTTCGATGTGGCGCCCACGGCACTGCTGCTTGACGATGGTGGTGCTTGTTGAGCTGGCTTCTTTGCAGCATTCCATTGGTCAGACAACCTTTGCCAGTCACGTTCTCAAGGGCGTCAACAAGAAACACAGCCGCTTCTTCGATTGAGTCCCTGGACTCAACATCCTTGTGAGCCTTGCCGATGGTGCAAAGAATACCTCACGTTCGCACTTCAGGTAAGCTTCATCGATTTCCAATGACTTCACTGAAACATGCTGCCTGATCATCTCATTCACAAGCATCATGAGGGCATTAGTCTTTTCGACATTGCTCTTGTAGTCCTTGTGGAAGATCTTCTTACAGTCTGAGCTGGACACAATTTTCTCGGGTCCAGTGTATGCCATTCTGAGCAGGCCATGTCTCAAGTGCAGGAGGGGATTTGACAAGGCAGGCTTTGGGTCCTGGCACAAGACCTCATAGATCTCGGGGCCAACGTTGCGTGTCTTCCCCAATGAAATCGTTCGAAGGAGCAGGTCCTCTGCACCAAACTTTAACACAAAGCTGTACATATAAGGAACTGCTGCGCTGCAGGATGGTTTCGACTGCAGCAGGTGCTTCTGGAGCTTGGAGTAGTCCAAGGACTTCTTCTCCTTCCTCAATAGCTGTTTACAACAAACAGGATATCAAAACACACATGTATACATCTATACAACCATCCAAAAAACGTACTGTGGTGTCTGCCAAGGCACTGGCTGCTTTCAATTGCATACATAATTCGTCTCAAGAGCTGCAACTCATGTTCGCCCTTTGAGATCTGCGCTGGGCTGTTGAAGCAAGACTGCAACAGTTGCGGAAACTTGGGGAAACATTTCATGGTTTCATGCGATATCACTCGCCAACGGATGCCTTTGTGGACTGCGGCCCCAAATGGTTTGTCCTTGCTTTCGGTGTCTTGCATTGACGGCAAAGAGCTAGACTGCACTCCTGCCTTGAGGGCTCTCAGGCCCACATTGGTGTGGGAACAACTGAGACTGAGAAACCTCAAATCAGGGATTGGAGGTAGTTGGCCATTTGACCTCTCACTGATGGCAAGGTTGAAGTCCACAGCTTCTTTCATGCCAGGTTCATCTGTCGGCATGGCACAAGCATAACCAATAGCAGAAGTGTCATGCCAGCCAATGTCCAGTATGTTTTGCATGAGGGCAAAGGCGTCTTCGAGATTGCAGCCATAGCCGTCCCGGTTCATTGGATGAATCCCAACCATTTGAGGTTCAAGCACGGCTTCGAAGAGATGCCCTGCGTGTTGTAGGAGGTCGAGAGCCTTATGCACGCCAGAAACTAGCTGGGAAGTTTCTGCATCCTTCAATGCAGCAGCGATTGAATCTTTCAGAGACTGATCCATTGGTCTATACCAAGGGTTTGATCCACTATATTTCAAGGCAGCTGCATCAGCGAGCTCAGTATATATGGGCCCTGCATGTTTGAAACGAGCAACCAGTGCCCTGCGTATGAAAGTGTGGATGCATAGATCCTTGAGTCTATGAGCGTATAAAACTCAGCGTGATGACACATGGTGTGCATCATCATGTCAAGATATGGAAGCAAAACAAAAAAGTCATGACCCTCGGACTCAAGTTTCAACTCAAAGTGGATGCATGCTTGGCCTCGGTTCCAAGTTCCAACATGTTTCAGCAGCCAAAACGTAACAGTTTTGTTTTTGCAACTGTGAGTCGAATGTATGCCAGACATCCTAAGGCATCTATTTTGTGTCAGCAGCAGTCCTTAAACTAAAATGGACTCGTGCGCGCTTGACAAAACTGGGCTATATATGGCTATATATATAGCCTCGCATGCCCGCTCAGTTCTTGGATTTCCGGAAGCGGTTGCCCTTGCCCTTCTTCTGCGAGCTGGCCTTGGGAGCAGCTTTAGAAGACACAGAGTTCGAAGGATCGGCAACATCCTCACTGGATAACTCGCATCCTTTGCCCTTGCCCTTGAGCGTATCCTCTGTGGCAGACTGGTATCCTTTGCCCTCGCCCTTCGTGTCCTGTGTGGCCGACTGGGATCCTTTTCCCATGCCCATGTTCATCTGTTGGGACATCATCATGCCCAGGACTAAGGCATTGATTGAGGGCTGACCCTGGACAGCGATAGTGTTTCCAGCAAATTCATAGTGCTCGATATCCGATTCCCCTTCGCTATGAGGAGTCATGCCGAGCCTCATGTGCAGGAAACGCGTCGTTCCCATCAGACTTTGGGATGGCAGCCTTTGGAGCCATTGCTAGAAGATTACCAGAGGCAGCAAACAAAGCGGTCACTTGAGTTGACAACAACAACACTTTTGAGAAAAACATAGCAGGTTCTCTTTGCAACCACAAAACGCATCTGATGCAGGGTCATGGACGAGTGACTCGCAACAACTGCACATGCATGCAGGGTCTCTCAGTCTCTGATGCACTGGACTCGCATGACAGCATGTCACATTTCAAGTGCAATCTACTGAACATGATATGAAAAAATACCTGTGTGACAGAAAGCATGGATTTCCCAGCGTTCAGTGATTGAAACCTATACAGTTTGCACCAGCCGTTCAAAAACAACTGAGATCGTGACAATCAACAAGAAGTATCAACAGCAATCAGATCTTTGTTTTCCACCTCTCAAATCTGCTCGGCATGTCTCGCAAAGTAACTCCCTGCTACTGATGTGCCTGGAACTCACATCCCTCATCAAAAGTTTGGCCATTCCTATAGTCAAAAACTCGCAGCAAGATCAGCACGCGTTTTGAAAAAAAAAGCTTGTGTATAGACTCTGACTTTACAAATCATATCTATGTTTTGACTTCATGGCCAGGGAATATACCCCTACTTCGCGCCCGCTTCGTCGGAAACTTTCTCTTCCGGCTTCTGACGCTTCGAAGGCGGCTCTTCGACCGAGTCATCCAAGCTGATGAAGATAGTCTTCGGCACATTGGTTTCATCATACCAACGGTCCCAGATTTCTTCAATCCAGTCAGCATGCTCAATGACTTTCACTAGGTACCACTTTCCAAATGGCGGTTGATCGTAGACCTTGGACCACTTCACGTGGTACTGTTCCTCACGTGGACGAGCCATCAAGCTAACGAATGCAAGTATATAGGTATATATGCCTTGAACCTTAAGATTGCTTCGAGCACTATAAATGAAATCATGCTGCATTGAAGCTTGCAACTGGCTCCACTATACATGGAAGTCATTGTCACAAATTTATACGTCAAGCACATGGTTGGCAGCGATTGTCAGTCATAGACTTCCAAGTCAAGAATCTTCCATACCAAAACGTTATTGAGGACGTGTATACTTATACTCGCATGCAAGGATATATGGGTTGACAATTTGGGTATCTGGGACTGCAATTCTTCATCCATCACTACAACGGTGCTATGATGCAAGCTTGTGTCCCTGGACGACACACAATAGTACACTGTAAAGCATGATGCGAAACTGTGTGCCTGCATGGCGCATATACTATACAAAGTGATCTTTTGCATGGTGCGAGACTGATTTAATATAAGCATGCCATGCAAGCAGCACATTGTATACTAGCATCACGCGAGACTGCGTCCCTGCATGGCACGCATACTAGAAAGTGACGTATATAAAGTATGATGCAAGCTGAACGTAACCCTGCAAGTTCTGAAGTATATTATATATTGTCGCATCATGCGAGACTGTCCCTGCATGGCAGGTGTATATGCTACAAAGTAATCTTTTGCATGATGCGAAACTGAATGTGACCATGCATTGCAAGCAGCACAAGAAATCCACTGCAGCATCATGCGAGACTGTGTCCCTGCATGGCAAGTATATACAATGTGATGACTGAGTTGACAAGACCATGCAAGGCAAGCTATCATCATGCGGGACTCTGTCCCTAAGTTTACTACAAAGTTGTGAAATGAATACAGTGGCGCAACTGACTTTGGTTCCTCGAAAAAAGTAAAACAACAGAAACCCTAAAATCCCAAGCCATGCATATATGTTGATTGGCCAATTTAAATTCACAATGAACAGGGGAGCATTCATACTGAATTTTTGTTCCTATCTCTTGTCGTGCCGAATATATGCCGCGAAACCAGCTATATATACAACCTAAGCGTTCTCATCTCCAGAATCCTCAGAGCTGCCACTGGAGGAACTGATTATGTCAAAGCCTGCCCTCATCGCTCTGTCGCATCTATCGGTGAGCTTGTTGCACAACTCAGTCAATTCCTGGATGCGAACATCTCGGTCATGAATCACATCATTTTTGGCTTTGATAAACTGTTGGCACCACTCCATTTGTTTGCGCAGCTCTTCGATGGCAATTGACTGGGCGTTGATTTTCGCCATTTGCTCATCAAGCCTTTGAACATAGTATTCCCGTTCCTTCTCATGGCGCTCAATTTGTTCCAAAAGTTTTGCCATATCATGTTCTGCAGGGCTGGACATTTCCCAACAAGTGCAAGAAAGCAGCTGCACACAAGCCACGGAAACGAAACAATTGCGCTATATACCATACCATATATAGGCAATTCAGAAATCGAAACCGCAAGATTGAACCAAAAGGTTGCACAAAAAAATTAAGCTGCAGTCAGGTTTGAATTGCAACAGTGGAAGCAAAGTGTGAACACACTTCTGCATTAACTGGACAAACAGGCAAAGGTAGACGCAGAAGAGCTCCTCATCACTTCAGTGTGCCTCATTTCGCATTGGAAAACTATAAGATGCAGGGATTTATGACACACCTATCAAACATCCAAACCGAAAATGCAAGAAAGGAATGCACATTCAGGATTGTGACATTGTGCTTTCAATATCTAGATATCAATTTTCAAAAATTAATTGCGTATAACTTTCAGAAACAAATTTATCTAGTTTCTCAGGCTGAGATCCTGGCGCCAACAGCGGTTTATGCACAAACACATTCACAGCATATGAACCGAAATGATTGCAGTTGTTAAAGTTAAGGTTGCTTAGTTTTATTGTTTTCACAGCAAAGTGCCAAACACGAATCCAGCACACGCTGCCACAAATTGGCAGCACAATTTCCAACGTCGATATCTGACTGTGTTTTCCATACTCTTCTAAACAGTTTACAGGAACTCAGTGCATGCAGGCTGATAAAATGCAACAACCTTAGCCACCAAAGACATCAGTTTCTGCTTCGGGCCCTGAAGTTGGAATGTTACCTGAACATCATTTTTGATTGGTTGGTTTCCTGGCACCCAAAAAACTCATCACAGTGTCATGAAAAAAAACGACACCAGCTGGATGTTAGTAAATTTTCCAAGCCACGAAGTGATTTAATTATTCAATGGACGCGGCCTTGTCCAAAAAATGTATATGTTCTTGGCACCAAACCTTTTCTCAAAGACAGCCGCAAGACATTCATGTCATAGTGCCTCTCACATGCGCTTACGCATGCCATGCGCCAAAAACAAACAAACAAAAAACGCTGCTCAATGAAAAAAAACGCCGGGCGAACAAAAAAAAATATGATACCTGGCATGAAACAATTTAAATTCTACACTGGGAGGATGAACAAAAAAACAACTTAGCGAACTTAGCAACTTCCACCTAAGTATACTTAGCCTACTTAGCTATCTAGCCTAAGTACACTTAGCTAACTAGAATAAGTTCACCACATGTAGTTATATTTTACGTAGAGAACTTAGACAAAAGAACTTATGATAAACTTATAACTGCATTTTAACTATGCTATCATATTTAGTGAACATAATATGTACATAGCGCGCAATTGCAACATGATAGCAACTTCAGTATGTTAGCTAATATAGTTAGCTCACTTATAACTTCACCAAGGTATACCTTAGAGAAGTTATAAGTTACATTTAACATACTTGTAAACAACTTGCAAGTCACCCAATTGAGCTAAGTACTTACAAGCACACCCGCCCATCCAAGTAGGTCTGAGTAATCCTTGTTTCACGACCTTCACATTTCCCATGATCATGTCTTCGGTCACACTTCTTGTGCAATTCAAACTTGACCCCCCACGATACGATCCTCCATGGCTTCCTGATAGGAATATGACGACCGTCAAACTGTGTTTTCAGACCATACATACATCCGTCGAAGTCATGAATGTGCGAATCAGTTCCTTCGATCATGCACTTCATTCGTTCATCATGCCAATAATCGCAACCTCTTGGCAGCTCCAATAGCGCCATGGCATCTAACTTGATCACTCTCAGAAGACAGTCTGAAAACTCTTCCCATAACTTCCAGTATAGACGTGCTTTGGCATCAATCATATGAGCTGTAACAGAGCTAAACCCTTTTGTTCAGCCTGTTCCACGGAGATCCGCCCGTGCACGGTCCAGCGAAGAAGACGCAATCCTTGTTGCTGCGGAGGCATCTCCTCCACTTCGCACTACCATATCTGGAGAGAAGGTCATCATCCTCTGTGATCAATTCCAGATGAGTCGAAGTGTCCATAATCTCACTATATCTCTTTGTCATCAAACTCGAAGGTTCAGCACACATCAATACGATAGTGGGTGTCCTTTCGGGCAACTCTTGCATTGTAATAGTGACGTTCTTCCCCAAATACTTCGTATTGTCAAGGTCATGAATGGATCTGACGAACGTGTACTTCATGCATTGCCCATTGTCACGAACCAATAATAGGTTGATCAGACTGTCCGCAAATGCGTTCAACTCGTTCTTATTCTTGTTCTCTTCGATCACCATTCGATAGGTATGAGGGATAAATATTTTGTTTGGCGAAATGATGTCCAGACCCATGGTGTTGACACAAGCCATCAGATTATCATCCATAATGCAACTCGCAACCGGAAGAACCTCCTGATGTCTCAAAACACGAAAGATAGACTTTCCAGTCCAGAACTCATTTCGATTGTTTGACCTTTCTCCATTATCACCTGGGAGACGCCAATTACTTTTGTCCACCCTCACATTCGACTGGAACTTCAATTGAGTTTCTCTCCAATCTTGAATCAAACGATGATCACATGGACAATCATCACAATCACTTGGAACGAACATCTCTCTTCTTGGTATGTTGTGGATCCTTTCCAAAATATGGTCACCAATCCATCTCCATTCATCATGAACAGGAACTTCATCACGACCACATTCAGTTGCTGATGCCACTTTCTTAGCATTTCTTCTCCGTATTGGCGGTCTTTGTAACTTCATCATCTCGGAAAATGCTTTGTGGAACTGTTTGGGATCTTTGAATTGTTTTGAATCCTCCATGCCTCTCCCCCCATGAACAAGGCGTACCAGGGCATTGATCACCCTAAGGGTCATAGGATTCCGTTCATATAACGAAAACGGAATCTTCTGAGGACGTTGAGCTTGTTCAAAGAGTATTTCAGTACTGAATGTGAGGCTCGGATTGTTCAGTTCCAACGTCGACGCACGTAAGAACCGAGAACTGGCCGCCGTGGACTCACATACGGGCAGTGAAACAATCGGAGCGGAAGTGGGGTAATGGTACTGGAAACATGCCCTTTCGATCCATTTGTCAAAACGTGATTGTTGTAACAAAGGTGGAACACGATCCTCAACTTGCTCCCACTTCCCGTGGACTAAGATCCAGGTGCTCCGAAGACAATCTGCAGGAAGCTTGACACCAGCTGGTCTTGTTCTGAATAACGTAGGGGTTTTGACCACAAAGATCGGATCCATACCAGGTAGCTCTTGAAGCTTTTCTCGACTTGAAAGACCCTTACGGTACACCTCAGGTGGCAGTATGGGTGTTTCAGTATATGGAAAATTGGGAACCTCATCTGTCCTTGACTGAAAAACTTGACGAACTGTAGTGTCAACATCCGTAGTGGGCTGCACTAGGTCTGCCAATTGCTTCGAACCAAGGTCTTCGGGTTCCAAAAGGTTGATTAACATACATGCCTTTTTCCAGGCGAGTGGGTTTGTAAACCCTTTTGTGTGGATGTCCGCGGCCATCTTCGCTGTGATCTCGTACATGAGAACAAAGTGATCTTTGCTGAAATGCTCATGTAATGACGTAATAGAAATTCCATGAGTCCTTTCCAAATGCCGCATTGTTGGATTTCGTCCAGAACGAACCACACCAAGCATCCCTTGATTGTCATCATGAAACAACAACTTTGGAGACGATTCTGTAAGCGTTTCCCAAATACTGAGTGCAGGAAGACCCATTGTTCGAAGGGTTACATCAGCGGCTACGATCTCAGCTTCAGGTGTAGAATGGCTCACACACCCCTGGCGTTTGCTCCCACCAGCTAACGGAAACCGAGTACGTTTCCCCTGAATATGCATATGAGAACCTGATGTGGACCTCAATGATTGTGCACATCCCGCAAAGTCAGCATCTGCATACAACGCAATGGACAGATCTTTCATGTCATTACCGACCCATCCAATCATTCTCTTCCCTAAGGTAGAGTTGGCATATCACGTTGCGCGCTAATGTATTGACTGATCTCAACAAATCAAATCGGGCGATCCTTGCTGCGTATAGAAGCTTCATCAAGATGCTGGCAGCATGAGGAGCAAGTGCACCTCGTTGGACTTCAACAGATTCCGGCCGAGAATCGGAGGCATCGGGCTGTAAGGCAACCGACGATCCAGGATCAAATTTTGTAGAACACCAGGGACATTGAACTGCATGCTTGGGGTCCCCAGGTGCTGGTGCTCGAGACTTATGTTGTTTAGTCTCTTCAGGGAGACTGGGCGTTGAGACCTGTTTTACTTTAGTATCTTTCCCAACAAGTTCAAGATACTTTTCAACAGAGAGTTTCAACAAACCCTCCATGTTATAGGTAATTGTTGTGACCTCTGTGCCATCATGCAGGCAATTGGTTCCTTTGCTTAGCAAACAACCAAGATAGAGACCTAAATCAGTCTCCGGTTCAATTCGCAGCTTAGACCTTAACATCTCCCAGCCTTTGGTGAGGTTCTGTGCTGGTCCAGCTAGCTTAAGATCATCCACATAGATGACTAACAAAAGTTTGAGCTCCTTATGGAAGTACATAGATGGCCATTCCTTCCCTACTGGCATGAACCCAACTTCACGGACATGTTTGTCACAATGTTGTTCCCACATTGTGCCCGCATCAGGGTGACCATAAAGTGCTTTGACAAGTCGCACTACCGGCCTTCTGAACTTCCGGATGTCAACGTCGTCCGGCCATGCATCTTCAGGGAGTTCGACCCAACAAGGAGGTCCCGTAAGCCTCGCTTGGATGTACGCCTGAATGGCGTCTGCCAACTTCACATTGTGGCCGGGGATGCAACCATAGAAATCTGCCCATCGGGAGGCTTCAAACGTCGCTGGAGAATTGCCGAGGTCCTGGAAGAACGCGGCTTCCCAGTGCTGGTTCTTGACTTGATTTCCAAGTAGAACGCCTCTTCCTTTGAACTTACGTCCAGGGCTCCCCTTTGGTAGCTGATAGTTCTTCTCGACACAAATGCCGTGAACTCGTGCCATGTGGACTTCTTTTCCTTCTCGTTTTGCTTCTGCCACAACATCATCGTATTCGCGCACAATGGAGAAATCATAGACTCCCTGCTTATGCTGACCCAACCACTCGTTCCTCATAGAAGCCTTGGCGTCCGGGTCTTCCATCATCTCTTTACGGCCAACTGGCCGTGAGACCATCGCGTTGAACAACTTCCCAAACCTCACATCAGTTTGACCGAACTTCTCGCGATGCTCAAGGTCTTGATGAACACAAGGCATACAAGGAATCGAACTCACGAAGTGGTCGACCTTGGACTTGCCGTCGGAGTCTTTTGAGGTAGAAGCCGTTGGTGCAGCTTTAGCAGGTGTCGTGACCTTTCCAGTGTTGAAATCATAATGAACATCTTCCCAGTGAGCTCTTGGTCTTTTTCCAACTTCATGTTCAGACCATTCATCCCATTCATTCAAGAATTCTTGACCATCATCATCACTTGGGATGTTTGTGCTCGTTTCACTGGGAGTCGCAGGAGAGGTATTGTTGTACTTCTTGATGTCAATGAGACCACCTGCACCATGGGACGTCGACGAACATTCCCATGGGTCGCGATCTCGTTTGCGGTTCAGCATCGTCATTGGATCGCGGGGCGTAGATATACGTTCCCACTCTCCTTGGAGCTTCCCCACACTGACAGCAGCGTCTTTGTCGCCATCTTTGCCTGAACTCTCCTTCGACTTCTTATTACTCTTTTTCTTCTTCTTGTGGACTTCATCTTTGACTGGATCTTTGAGTGAACTTGAATCGTGCTTCTTCTTCTCGGAGATCTCGGCCTTGGCCTTCTTTTCTTTCTCCTTCTTCAACTTGATCTCCTTGAGCTTTTCAGCTTCTTCTTCAAGTTTTCCACGACGAATGATGACGTCTCTCTCCTTAGCAGACAGTGCTCTCCATTCTTCAGGACTGTAGCTACTCTTTGGCCTTGGTGATCCTCGTACTTCTTTGCGACCATCTGGACCAACTCGACAAGGTCGTCCACGTTTATCGAGCTTGACATGCTCACCGATGTCGCTGAGGTAGATGATGCCGTCACCAGGTTTGCCCATAGAGTGATGTTCAGGCCCATCATGAGGAGGTTCACCGTCAGGAGGAGGCATAGGAGGTCCATCAACAACTTCGACTCCATCGTCTTTCTCTTTGTCGAGTTTGATGTCCATTTCCTCCATCATGCGATTGAACTCTTCTTCTTGATGTTCAACACGATTGGTGATCTTCCCTTTCTTGGGTTTGTCATCACCATCTTCTCCATCGTCGTCGTCTCCATCATCATCGTCATCATCTTGATGATCTTCAAGGAAATCAGGTGATCCTTCAAGACGGTCTTTCACTGCCAACCCTTCCAATGTTGTATTCACCTTCTCATAGATGTCTTTGCATGGGAACGTCAATGGTAAGTGCACCTCAATCTTCTCAGTGAGATGAGGATGGCGTAGCTTGTCGATGATTGTCTTGGCATTGAACGAGTAGTTCTGCTTCGTCATGTCTGACAATGCCCATGCCATATACTGTCTTCGCCAATTGACGCCTGGGGCAATTTCATAGCCCGCAAAAACACCAGGGATGCCCTTGGGATCGAACTTGTGAGCTTGTTCATTAGCTCTGGCTCCACTCGGTTTGAAGTAAACCAATGCGCCAAATGGGATCTTGTCGCCCTTGAACTCGGCGCCATGGAGCTTGCACCATGCGCTCACATCATCTTCACCAGGCTCCACGTTGAGTAGGTGACATACACATCGTATGGCGAACTTCCAGAAGCATGCTGGTAGTCCAGCCTCGAGTAGGCATGTTGTAGTGGTCGCAATGACGAACTGGTTGTTGCGCTCGGCAAGAGAGTTTGTCGAAGGTCTTCCCGGCAGAGCATGGTCAAAGGGAATCTTGAGTGCCTCCATGCCTTTGACGAACTGTCTGGCTTTGTCGGAGTACGCTTCCCTGATGGTTCTTCTTCCCATGAAGTACTTCACCGCTCTCACAGCATCCTCAGTGTTCTTGGTTGGAGAGGGATAGCTCTGAATGATGCCGGTGTACCTGTCTCGGATGACAAGAATCTCCTTGACCGTGTCATAGCCCAACTTGGTCGTCTTGCGAGTATCCATGAAGTCAAAGGTGATGAGGTCGCCGAACTTGGTAAGCTTTCGGCGGAATGCACCTCGGTAGGTCTTGTGGTGCTTCATCTTAGCCCTTATGCAAGAGTTGCAATACGGGTTCTTGTATCGATGTGTCAACAAATGTTCGAGAGTACGAGCTTCATGTTTCAGGGTACCTCTCTTTGATAACCGTACTCCTCCATCAGGATCATCGACATCGATATCATCCTCATCATCTTCTTCTTCTGGTGGTCCATGCTCAACGCCAACTTCATCTTCATCTGGTTGATCATCACCCGGAATATCATCAGCTGCTGGTATACTCGATCATCATCATCTTCGTTGTCTTCATCCGCACCAGGGATCTCATCAACATGAACATCATCACCTTCTGGATCTTCTTCGCGGATGGATGGTTCATAACCATCATCATCATCGAGTTCTTCACCAGCTGCTGCAGGAACCGTCTTCCGTCTGGAACGCTTCTTCTTCTTTGTCTTCCTCGGAGACTTCGTTGGTCCGTCGACGTACGTACCAACTCCATCATCTGATTCGGACATCTCATCACCACTCTCACCGTCGAGATATATCGTCCTCGATGCATGATTGTTGCCAATGAGACCCAACACTTTCATCACTAGCTCAGCCTCATGGTCTGGTGTAGGCCTATAGTCCTTAGCTCCAAGGTAGACATATGGGATGAGATCGTGAACTTCCATCCTAATCTTGTCACCCTCAGAGTTGATCATGTAGGGTTCTCTCTCACTAGGCCATACACAGGTATAACCTTGTTCCATTCATCGTTTCCCCAATGACAGAACAGATGGGGTGTCTTCCAACACATGAGCCCTTGCAGGTTCATTGAACATGTCGAAATCCAAGTCCACCATCGTAGATGTGGATGTGATGCCGTTTGCAGTGTGGAAGTTGACTCTATCACTCTGGTAGGTGTCAATGTCCATCCGATCCACCCTAGTAGACGAGATGAGATCATGACCACTGCCAGAGTCCATGATGAAACGTCTGTCCTTGAGCTCGATTGGCATGGTGATGCACATGACATTATCACGACGACCATATTGTCCTGGAACATGAGGGATAACTTCCTCATAACATATCTCAGCTCGGGAGTTGTTCTCCAAATATTCAATGTTGTTGATCTTGAGCTTGATATCGTTCTTGGGTCCCAGGATAACATGTACTTCGTCAACATCAGAAAACTCACCATAGTCATCCATCAGGATGCCAATTGCACGTGCCCTTGTCATGCCCAATTTGGATTGTAGTACCCATTGTTGATCATCCATGACTTCTTTGGTAGTTCTGCACGTCAATGACTTCTTCTGAGCTCTGGACATGTTTCTCCTTGGCTTTCCATTGGAGCATTCCACAAAGTCAGGCTTCACGTACTTGATGATGTCCACATGATCGTTGAACTTGACATCCATCTTGTTCTTCTTCTCGATGGGCACAGCTTTCATGATGAAATCGTCATCATACTCACGGACCAACGCAGGAGTGGCTTTCGCGTCGGATGTCTTTGTCGAAGGTGCTGCTCTCTTGCCCTTCATGCTTGGGTCATGCTTGAATGTACATTTGTCTCCTTTCTGACAGTCACCCTTCAACCACCCATAACAGTTTCGGTCCTTCTTTCCACCAGGAGTCTGCGATCTTCTCGGAGTGGTTGATCTGCCGGTCTTGCCCTTGCCACCTTTGTCCTTCTTTCTATCCCAATGATATTGAGAATGACTGTATTGGCACTTGTCACCATGTTTACAATTGCCTTTGTTGAAGTGGAAGTGACAAAAAGTCTTCGAAGGATCTCTGGTAGAAGGCGACCTTGATCTTTTACCACCCTTGCCTTTCCCCTTGCCATGGCTCTTAGGATTGCCGGAAGGTAGTACAGGAGCTCCAGGCTTACCTTTGGGTGCTGGGGCGCTCGGCTTTCCGGTCTTACCATCTTTCGGCGCAGGTGCTGGAGCCGTGGGCTTTGGTGCAGGGGTAGAAGGCTTGCCAAGGTTGGTGTAGTCCGTGGCGAACTTGTCCCTGGCCGCAATGTTTCTATCCTCACGAGCACGAGCTATGTGCCTCTTCATGATCTCCAATAGCTCGCTGTAGGACTTCTTCTTGTCATCATCGTCCCTACCTTTGAAGATCGTGAGGTCGACGTGTAGCGCCTGGGAGCCATCAATCTTCCTCAAGAGATGATCACGCAGTGTGTTGTCGGATGGAATGTCCTCAACCTTCATGTTTGCGATGATTTCCACCCATGCATTGAGGAACTTGTCCATCTCTTTATCACCACGATATTGTAGTTTGTAGATGTGGCTGGCATTGAACAACACCTCATCTTTCGATGTTGTTCTGAAATGATCAAGTACCATAGCTAATATCTCTCTGCCCATTAGGAAATTCCCTTCTTTTCCCAGTACTTGACTCCTCTGCCTGATCCGAACCTTGACTTCAAATGCAGTCTCGCCAGCGGCGTCCACCATGTTCTGCAAGGCAATAGATAGTTTGGAGTCAATGGACTGGAAGCGGAATTCACCTGAGTCAGCGAGTTCAGCATAGTCAGGATTGGGTAGTTGAGCAGGAGATAGCCATCTTCTCCATGCAGCTGTGTCGGGATCTCCTGAAGCAACGCATACCGCTTGCACGACGTTCGAACGCCATACATCGAGATCTTGACATTTGGGCCATGGTTTGACGATGACCTTCTCGCGCTCCTTTCTCGATATTCTGGTTACCCAATCTTTGCCATCTTGGCCAACATCACTGCTGGCAACACTAGCATCTTTGCCGTCTTTCCGATCCCAAAGTCCGGGAGGATTGTCGGGAACGGGGTCAAGCTCAGAGGCTTTGTTGTCTTTAATGGATTCTTGCCCCTCTTCGACCTGTTCTAGCCAACTCTGGTACTCCTTCATCTCGTCATAGTTCTGTTGAGCTTGTTCTTCAGATCGGCGAAGCTTCTCACGAAGGTCGCTGATCTCGTCGTTGGCCTTGGTGTCGACGGCATTATTCGTGCTAGGTGATGGTGGTGGTGGTGGTAGAGCAGGATCATGATTCTTCGTTGAAGAGGACGCCTTGGGTGTACCCGTAGGCGTTGAGATCGATACTGCAAAGGAAGGTGTCTTGCCAGTGGATGTGGTCGTTCTCGGAGCCAGACTTGCCGGAGGCATAGCTGATGATGAAGCTGGTACTGCGGCCCTGGGCACCGCCCTACTCCACGACGCTGGCACAGACCTCATGGCCTGACTTGCGTCACGGAGAGACAGTTTCAGCGAGTCATTCTTCCTGATCGCGTGATCACGTTCAGAACAAGCCGTCTGGTACAGCTTCTTATATCTGTCTGCCTCTGCCTCTTCAGTGTTGATGAGCGCCTCAGTCAATTTCGGATTGCTCTCAATTCCTTCTTGAAGTCGATTGATCTCCAGGTTCGCCTTGTGAAGTTCATCACGTAGTTCCTCGTTTACTTTGGCATTGGTTTCGTCATTGCCGACGCTGAATCGAGATCCAAGAAGTTCAGCAACTCGAGTTCTCAACTGATTATTAGCCTCGATCAATGTCATGTTCTCCTCCATGAGCTCATCCTTAACATGTTCAATGGTGACCTCCCTGTCCTTGAACGCATTCAGTTCAGTATATCTAAACTGACGGAACTCATTCTTTTCCTCGTTGAACCGATTCGTATACCATTCTCTGGTAGCACTCTCGTTCTCGTTCAACTTCATGAGGCTTCTGATCTCCACCTCGAGCTCGTTGTGTTTCCGGTTTACTCTTCCTCTCTTTCCTGAATCATGTTCCTCATGTCACGAAGCTTTGTGAAGTGATCATGGTTTGCACTATCCCTGATGGCGATGATGTTGTCTTTGTTCGACAGACTGACACTCAGCTCGTCGATGGTAGATTGCATTTCTGCCATTTGTTCATCACGTAGTGCAACAGCATGTTGACCATATTCCATGATCATCTCGTTGTTGTCAACCATCATCTGTGAACTTTCTGCCAATTTCAGTTTCAGTTGTTCCATCTCTTCCTTGTTCGCATCCTCCTTCTCTTGTACATACTGTGCACATGCTTCACGTAGTTGTATCCCATCTTGACGGAAATGAATCGTCATAGCTTCAGATACTTCTTGTTGTTGACGGATAAGTTGTGATGCATTCTCTAATTCAGTAAGATATTTCCCCCTCATAGCCATGCTCTCCTGAACAATATGGGCCGCGCCTGATTCTGCAAGATGACCACGTCTCTCCAGCTCGATGATCCTCAGGGTTGAGCCCTCGTCCATGAGATGTGCCTCAGCCAGCGCGGTTGATTGTTCGTCAAGTATGTTGTAGGCATTAATGAGGGATCCTCTCATGAATTCCATCTCAGAATTGACATGTTCCTGATATTCTTCATGGCATTGTTGTGAATAGACCTCTACAGTGTTAATCATCTGATCACGGCGTGCAAGAACATCTTGATATAGAATCAACCTATTTTCCAGTTCAGTCCTTGCCCGTTCACTCCTCTCCAGTTTCTCAGTGTTGTGTTGTAATTGACGCCGAAGTCGTGCCTCACTTTCATTCCTCGTTGCACTGGTCGATGGCTTGCGTTTGGATGAGGTAGCAGACTTGCCCACCTCATCCTCCCGCGTGGCGTGCCCGAAGGGCTCCGGCCACCATTGCCACCTTCCGCAGCGCGAGATCTTGTTGCGCGAGGAGACCTTGCCGACGTCGATCTGTTGGCACTTCCCCGAACAGCATCAGCTTTATTGACCACTGTGAAGCTGTTTGTTGATGCCACACTTCCAGGAGCTCGGTACGAGACTGTACCGCCGCCGCCGCTCTCTTGGGATCCAGGCGTGTCGTTGATCGCCTGGGCCGGAGCAGCATTCGCCCCGAAGGTGAAGTTCGTGTCGTTGCTACTTGACTGGTTCTCCTGCGACATCTTCTTGAAGTCAATCCACCTCCGGTTACCCCAAGCCTATATGACTTGTAGTAGGGCAGGAGGACCAGGATGCCGAAGGGGTTGAAGGTTACGTGGGACCACCGTACGCCCAGTGTGAGCGTACGGCTGATAACCTGTGAATACGAAGACTGTACGCTGGAAGTTATATGAGTTTACAGAATTAGACGAGTTACAACATGTATATAAACCTTCTATAAGATGTCTATAACCTGCTTGCAAGTATGTAAAGTGTCATAACATTTGATAAGTAATTTGTAAGTTTAGCTAGCCGGCTACGAGAAGTTGTAAATGTTTAGGTAAAATATAAATGGTTAATGAACTTATCGTAAGTATCTTAACTGCATGTTTTCTTTTTATAACTATGTTAACAGACTTAACATAAGTATGTAGGAAAAGTTATCATAAGTTATCTGAAAGTTAACAAAAGTTATAAAAAGTTATAAAAAGTTACAAAAAGTTAGTATAAAGTTATATAAAGTTTAAAATATGTTTGCAAGAGGGCAATGAAAATGTTTCTTTATTTTACATTTTTCGAGAGTTTCATTAAGTTTGTGACAGCTATAGTTTAGCTATAGTTTAGCTATAGTTCAGCTATAGTTCAGCTATAGTTCAGCTATAGTTCAGCTATAGTTCAGATAAAGCTAGCTATAGTTCAGATAAAATTAGCTATATTTCAGACAAAAATATCTATAGTTCAGAAAAGAATGGCTATAGTTCAGATAAAAATGGCTATAGTCCAGACAAAAATAGCTATAGTTCAGACAAAACTAGCTATAGTTCAGAATAGAAGTCGCTATAGTTCAGACAAAACTAACTATAGTTCAGACAAAAATAGCTATAGTTCAGACAAAAATAGCTATAGTTCAGATAAAAATGGCTATAGTTCAGAAAAAAATGGCTATAGTTCAGACAAAAATATCTATAGTTCAGAAAAAAATGGCTATAGTTCAGACAAAACTAGCTATAGTTCAGAATAAAAGTCGCTATAGTTCAGACAAAACTAGCTATAGTTCAGACAAAAATAGCTATAGTTCAGACAAAAATAGCTATAGTTCAGATAAAAATGGCTATAGTTCAGATAAAAATGGCTATAGTTCAGATAAAAATGGCTATAGTTCAGTTTTAAAAAAAACATATCGCCTCAGGTGTCATGATTCCTGAAACATACATAACTGAAACGCTTTCACATCACTTCGTCGATTCAAAAAAAGGATATCATATCTGAAAGTTCTTTCAGAAACAAGACAATTATAAAATCCACGTGGTCGGAAACCAAGGCAAAGACTTTCAAAAGTATAAAAATATACAAAAAAAGTTACAAAAAGTTATGAAAAGTTATAAAAAGTTAGCAGAAGTTATAAAAAGTTAGCAGAAGTTATAAAAAGTTAAGACAAAACTTACAAATAAGTTATTAAAGTTAACATAACTTCCTTTTATCTTTTTGATAAGTCATGTTAACTTCCAACATAAATCCTTTAACTTCTGTATATCTAGGCTAAGTCTGTAAAGTCTTATAACTTTAAGCGTACAGTCTTCGTAGGCGATGGTTCACCTATCGTGCTCGTAGCTGACAAACTTGTAGCTGACAAACTTCTCCACCCAATGAAGATTCCCGCGCGCTCTTTCCCAGAAGCGAGAGCGATCGAGTCTTGAGATGTGGCGGCTTGGACTTGAGCCACGTGAGTGGCTTGAGCCAAGCGGCGGGAGAGCGAAGCATGTAAATCTGTTGCTTGCAGGAACATCCTACGGTTCGGATTCCAATCACATATATATATATATACTGTATCAAGCTTTGTCGGAAAAAAAAACATCCAACATAAACAATATTGAGCTCACATAATTGCATTTGCACAACTAAGTAGGTCCGTAGGTATTTCAGAGTTCCAGAAACGAACATCAGTGACACCGTTGCTTCATGTTGCTTCGGGCAGCATTCGGGCAGCTATGCCGCCACACCTGCATCGCGCCACAGCCTGCTATGAGGCACTCGGGGTCGGAGTCCCGTTTCACGGGGAGCCTCGGCTCGAAATTTTGGAGAATCATGGAGCATCTCCACGGCGCCAGAATGTGCCACATCATTGCTTCAAAAGGATTTCAAAGCGTTAAGATGTATCAAAATTTGCAACACATTCTGTACAAAGACTATCAAAGACTTACAAAACTAAAAAACGTATAATTATAAAATGTTAGTTCAATCACAATTTCAAAATGTTGTGAATTGCTTACATTGACTTGGACTGCTGGGGTCACATTCTTTTAGTGTTTCACCAACTGAATCACTTGACTTTTGCTGCAAAGAAATACTGCTCTCTCTCTCTCTCTTGAGATTTTTGAGATGCTTTGCAACCCGGATCAATCACTCTTAGGCCACCTAGCCCGTAGTATTCGCGGTACATGCCATTGTAACGGTGGCAAACCAGCGTGTACAGGAGCCTCGGCAGAAAAAACTAACACAGTCTTCCCCTGAGATTTATTTGGCACTGTTTGAGCGATTTGTTGCTCTTCGTTTCTCTTTGTTTCTCTTCGTGGGCACACGTTGCTGCGTTGGGACTGCATCTCGACTGCTCGGCGTCGCACCAAAACACGGACTGCTCCGAGGGCTGTGTCAAGCCGTCTGCGGCGCTCACCGTGGACGCCTCGGCATAAATCTTTCGCGTTATGTCGGGTGCAAAACGATGTCATCGTCACATATCGTCACACATCGTCACTGCCAAAGCTGACTGGACAATGACACCAATGACATAACCTTGTCGATATGTTGTACGTAAAAATGAATATAGCCTAGCTTCTATGTAGATATGTTACGGATATGTCTATTGTATGTCATATGAGTCATATGTATATATTTTTATACAGGAGTCCCCGTCAAAATCCTTTACATCTGAGTAGTTGCTATTGTTATTGTTGTCGCTTTTGGGGGGGTCTTATCGTTTTCCAGGATTATGTGGAAATCAGCATGTTTGAGATCCAATATGAAACCAAAATCCATTCCTAAACAGGTTCGGAAATTGATCCAGGAGTTGTTTTGTTGGTCTCAGGTGCTTCAGCAACAAGTCATTGTCCTTTAATTTTCCTTTCATTGTATTCGTTTCCTTTCATATTCATTTCATATTCCTTTATGTTCCTTTCATTTTCCTTCCATTTTGCATTCATGTCCTTCCATTTTTCCTTCTAAGGTTCATGGCGAAGGGAAAATCCGACATTGGAGAACATGGGTCTATGGCTTGGCCAGGGGATCGAATGCAACAAATGGTTATCGCTAAGTTATCGCTAATAAGCCCTCCAATGTAAGACTTTAATTTTGCCACAAAACGACAAAGAGAGCGAGTTGGACACCAAATGATTTGGTGACTGCAGGAAACAGGGCACCACAGGTTGAAGTTCCCTCATCGGTTTTGCCCGCTGGGTGCATGTGCACCACAGTTATTTGCTTAGTTTACGCCAAGTTTAATGGACTGTCGTGTATGGTCCCAGAAAATGTCCTGCAATATTACAGTGGTCTTCAACCATTTTGACCGCGACTCGTTTATATTTATATATATATATATGTATAAAATGTGAAACGGACGTTCCCGGTTATATTGTCCTTAATGTTCCTGAATCGTTGTATTGGAGTTCGATGGTCACGGAAACCAGTGCTTCGGCATTGCTCATTTTACGTCTCGGATAGGCAGTGGTCTTGAGCCAAAGGGGCAGCGTTGTTTGGCCCCTTTGACTGGATATGCAAGACCTATATACATGGGATATGTAGGTGTATTATGGTGTATTATCGTCTACATCCCATTCGCACCCCCCACGCCTGACTGACTTTGTCAGTCAAGCGCAGGAGTAGAGTCTTAAATCCATATTGCCTGTCAATTTAATTAACGAGCTGTTCGACTATCTTGCGGCTTGCTATTCTCTACACATCTACACGCATAAATGACATGCATACTGACAAGGCGACGCCTATGTACAGTGTTGAGATCCACATCACGTGGCGTTGCCAACGTTCAGTTTCACTCAGGCATGAAATAGAACCAAATAAAAAAAAATGACTACAGAGCTAGAATTTTACACTCCCGCTCATCCGTCGAAGAGAAATAGACCGCTGTAGAAACTCAGCTCACGATGCAATGATGTTTAGATAGCATCGTATCTAAAAAAAATATTGGTGGTGTTTGCAAATTAGCCGGCTCAGATTCCTCTCAGAAGTCATCCATATCGATGATGATTTCGATCATGAGCACTGATTGCTGCTTCTCGCCAGTATCGTCTGGACCTATGCAGAGGTCGTATGGTGTTATCACCAGTTTCTTCTCCCATAGTTCGGTCCCGAGTAGTTCCAGTCGCCACCACGGTGTGAGTATGATTTACTCCCTTTCCCTTGGTCTTTACCACCTCTCCAAGGTGGGGTCGCTGGAGGTTGCTTTGGCGTATGAGCAGCTTATCCTGGATGAGTCGATGATGCCGAAGGTGTCGATCTCGTGTCCGGTGTCGCGCTTGGCTTTGGTGCCGCTTTCGATTTCCCTCTCGCATATGTGCCAACTTCACGTCGGGCATCGGGAGGTATCTGCATGTCGGCGATCGCGATCACGTGGGCTTCCGACATGTGGATTCCCCACTTCGGTCGTTGATCATCTCGTTGCTTCGATTTGTTGTACTCATCGATAGCGTCGTACAGTCGAAGTCGTAATGGTCGTGGGAGTTGTCTGCCATTTTGCAGGATCAGATGCATGACAGAAATGCGCCTGAGCTGTGGTCGGCATGCACACAGAATGTCAACTGGATTGAGAGTCACTGTGTTCTGGAAGTCTACGTTCCGGAAGAAGTACACGGCATTCACCATGTATGCTCCAGCGATCACTCTTCGGACAAATGTGGATTGCATGTCGAGGGCTTCACGGGCTACCGACGACTTTCTAGCTTCTTCTTCGGTGGTATCATCTTTCTTCAAGGATTCCATGTTCTCTTCACTGAATATGTTCTGTAGATCGCTAAAGGCGTAACCACATTCCAACACATAGATGATCAGTTTCTTGAAGACCAAAGACCCATGATAGGCATTGATGAAACCATCTTCTCCCACATCATCTTTAGATTTGGGCTTACCAATCTGATGGTAGAGTTCCTGCATCTGTTCGGTGCTGGGTTCAATGAGGTTTCCATCATCATCTTCACCGAGGAAGGGTACTTTCGGATCGAGGTCCAGTCTGAACCTCTGATTCATCTGAAAATGTTGCCAAGCTGACTCAACAGTACCGCAAAAACTTCTGTGGAACTGCTTGTATATCTTGAGGATATTCATTCCCATCTGTAGCAACAAGATCTTGATGAGTTCCGGCTGTGCATCTCCGATCATGCAAGGTTCAACCGGAAGAACTGTTGATCCAAAATCAACCCTGTTCATCCAGGCTGGATACTCAATGTTGGCATCCTTCGCCTCGTCTACCTCGTATTCTTCGATGTTGATGTCTCCACCAGCGGCTCCTTCTTCTTCAACTGTGTCGGCTCTTTCGCGCTCCTCATTGAGGAATTCATCGACTTCATCCTGTTCTCTGAAATCTCGCCTCTCCGCATTAATGTCATCAGCTTCGGGCTCCCGATCTGCATCGTCCCCACCTTGTTGGACTTCGTCTTGTGGACCTTCCATATAGACATCCTCATCATCTTGCATTTGATCATCATTGTCATCGTCATTGGTCAGGTCGATCTTGATCTTCTCCCAAGCTTGCTTGACGTGCTCTCTGACATCGTCTTCTTGAGGGCGCTGTTCTGCAGCAGGGGTGCTTGCAACAGTGACTTTGATTCGTCTCCTCAAGCTGTGACTAATCAGATATCCTTTGCACACTACGCAAATTGCTAAAGTTGCTGGAGTCTCACATAGACAAGCTGGGCATAACCTGTGACCTTCTTTGTTTGGACGATGAGTGAGTGCAAGAAGAGAGATAGCGTCGTTCCAATCTTGGTGTCCTGGGAAGGGCCTGTTCGAGTAGCTGATGTGACTCATTTTGATGTCAATAAGTTTGCGGAGTTCATTCAAATATGGAGACGATTCATCTGGAATGACATTCCCGATGAGGTAATCGAATCACTCGATGGTGGCGATCTTCTTCGCACCCTTCACAGAAAGCACAAGTTGTTCATATCCTTTTGTAATCATGAGACGGTAAAATTCCCCACTCCTCCAATCATAATGCCACACTGCATCAAAGGAATTGAATGGGATTGTTTGTTGAACCAGAATGTGTCCGTCTGCTGATACTCGTGGAAAGAACTTGGAGAGAGATTCGTATGTCATGTAGATGTAGACGAGATCTGTTCCGTCGATCTTCTTGAATCTCAGCACTGACTTGCTCCGTTCGTCCCAAGGTGCGAAGGGCACAAAGAACGTGTTGATACGGTCTCCTCCTCCTCCAGGGCGTAATCCTTCTCGGAAAATTTGTGCTATACATTCGAAGGTGGTGCAATGGAATCCTCCTCCAAGAGTGTAACCAACGCTTGGGTTCATCTGGAAGGAGACCTTGCTGTCCTCGATCTGTACGCCACCTGGATTCTTTGAATGTGCCATTGGTGCTCTGACCGCCACCGGCCATAACCAGATTTCTCGATCCGCAGTGCCGATCTCAATTCTCAGCTTCTGCGTGTTCACTTTCTTCGTGAATGCATTGTTCTGATGTAAGATTCGTTCCAATTCACCTTTTGTCACTTGCAGCCCAAGCACTTGGGCTCGGACTCTCTTCGTTTGCTTGTACTCAGTGAAGATGATTGTCTGGAACATGTCCCACCTCTTGACGATAATGTCGTAATTTGCATTGGGGGTTCCTGCTAGGGTTTCTCCGTCTCGCCAGATGTGATCGTATTTCAGAATCTGTTCGACGTTGACCCACCCAGCCTCGTCACAAGGGATGCCTTGATGACCTCTTTTGTCAGTGACACAACCCACGGAGTGACGAAGTGCAGCGTTGAACCTTTTCGACATTTCAATCATCCATCGAGGTGTGTCTTGTCTCCTTCCCATCCACTCATTTTCATCATAATGTTGAACTCTGCACCATCCATAGCCAACATAATCTTCTCCATTGATGCGGGCCAATTGAAGGGTGCCGATGTCGATGCCATGAGTGAATGGTTGAATGTATCTAAAGTTCCAGTTGTTTCCATGTTCATCTTTTTCTTGTTTCATCCAGGTCCATCTCTGAAAAGCATCATTGTCTCTGGGGATCACTGCATTCAGCTCCTGGATGGAAGGCAGAACAGGTCGAGACTCCTCCGCCGCTCGCTCCACGAGGGCGTCGAGCTCTTGTCTGTTCTTCACACCTTGGCCTTGGGGATGGACTTCGATGCCGTTCACCAAAAATGGTGGATTGGCTGTAGAAGCTTTTGGTCACTTCCTCCTTTTCGGTGAATCTCGTTCTTCTCCATCGCTTCCCCTGTGGCATGATACCTTTTTTCGGGAGCTTATCTTTACTTCCCCTGGTAGCCGTTTTGGATCTCTCATCTGTTCATTGTCTTGTAGAATGCATTCTTCCACGTCAAGTGTTCCTCCACAGATGAAGCAATATTGAACATGAGATGCTTCAGCAATCATCCTTTCGAACTGATCACGAATGCTTCGAACCTCAGTTCGGCGCTTCTTCGCCTCAGAAGGTTGGCCCCCCATGTCCTCTTCATCCTCTTCAACCTTGATGTCGTCATCCCCA